AGAACAGAACAGAACAGAACAGAAGAAAACAGAAGAGGACAGAAGAAATGAGGAAAGGAGAGGACAGGACAAAGGCTTTTATTGAGTTTGATGACTTGCAGCACTTAAAGCAAACTGAAGGAAAAAAATGTAGTAATGTCTTCAGACGTTAAGCTTTGTATACCATTCTTATATTCTATACATTCTCATAGCTCATTGTTGTGTGTGTCGTATTCTTACATTTGATTTTTTTCTCTTGAAAAGCTATCCAAGAATGAAGAATTGAATGCAATTTCCGAAGTGAAATAATCAAGTCACCGCTCATTAATTTCTTTTGAGAAAGATCAAACAGCTGAATCGACAGATGGTTTCCGGAGAGATAACAACCCCGCTACATTTTCCTAACAGCGTGGATTCATTTCCAATCAATGTTCTTTGTTTTGATCTCCAACCGATTGCAAAACAAATGAACTGATCTGGACAAACCAGCAGGAATTGTTGGACAAGGGATTGGACTGATTAGCTTAAGGCTGTGTTTGCGCAGACAAATTTTTAATCGAATATATATACAGTACCTATATATGCTATACCAATAAATATACAGTACCTATATATGCTATACCAATGAATATACAGTACCTATATATGCTATACCAATAAATATACAGTACCAATATATTCCCAAAATTGTCTTATTTTCATTACAATAAATAAGTGAATGATTAGCTCAATGAAAAGGACGCCTTTAGATCTTTACACAATAAACTATATTGACAAACTGAGATTGGGATATTGATCATATATATCCAAAATCTAGAAGACAATTTCGGGTATCTTCAGTTTTAGTTTAGTTTACTTTATTTGTCACAATTCAAAACAAAAATCATATAAAGAAAGAAAGAACTATTGTGACTGGAAAAGGAAACAGGACTCACGTCCCAATGGACATCCATTCCAAAGAACTAGAGTGGTTTTCAATAATCTATGAAACAACTGATCGTAGATACAATAGAGAGTACTTTTAGATTGACTTTTTTTTCTCCCCGCAAACGGCAAACGTGACCACGTTTTCATCGTTTTCCTGTATTTTACTTTACCTTTTACAAACCTTCTCACCAAGCGCAAATACTCTTTTGTTTTTTTACTACTTGGACTTTCTTGCGATTCTTTTTCAGTAATTTAAAAGAATTTTTTACTGGTCAACTGACGTTTCACGTTTGCCGTGAACGTAAATCTAAAACTCTAATTTGAGGATGAGAACGAGTAACTTAGAGCGTAACCTTCGTTACGATAAAATTATTTAAAATACATCTATGAATCAAATAAATAAATATATATATATGTAAAATTATATAAACTTCTTAATGTTGTCAAAATCAGATATTGGTTGATTTTCAAATCTGTTTCTTGTTGTGAAGTCCACCATTTGGCAAAGAAAGTTGTCTTGTAGAAGCTTGATGAAGTAGCTATGGTTGCAGTCGCCGCTCGTATCAGTTCTTTCTTCGTATTTTTTGATAAAAACACTTTACTTTGAAAAAATATGACAGCTTCTTTACATGTCTTTACTTATCAAAATAAAGCAATTAATCTAAAGGTTGATTGTATGATTCGTGCACGAAATACCACTGCTGCTTTTTTCTTTGCTTTAGTTTTTTCTTTTTCTTATATATTTAGTTTGATAACACGTCTTTGCTTTGGAAAAAATATGACAGCTTTTTCCCTTCTCAAAATAAAGCAATATTGAATTCTGTAAAGATTGTCCGCATGATTTGTGCACGAAATATCACTTATGGCTTTTTTCTTTCATTTTATATTTTTGATAACTGCTTTGGAAAAAATATATTACAGCTTTTTTCCTTCCCAAAATAAAGCAATATTGAATTCTCTAAAGATTGTCCGTATGATTTGTAAACGAAATACCATTTCTGATCTGTTTGGTTTTTTTGTTTTTTGTTGTCGTCGTTTTTTTTTTTTTTTTTTTTGGCGACAAAAATTCTTTTTAGATCGACAAGTGGCTAGTGCAAAATGGGCGAAGAACGTTGATACTTTTGAAAAAAATATGCTATTTTTCTTTTCAAATAAAGAAATTTCCAATAAGATTATTTACATGGTTTGCGCAAAAAAATACCGCCTTTACCTTAATATTGTTAAAAGCATGTTTATGGAATCGCAATCTGAAGCCTTATCTCCGTCTCAACAGGATACGTTTGAAACAATAGATTTTCAATGAACGTTCAGTAAAACCGCTACTTCAACTCACCGTGGACAATCTCTTATCTTACCGCCATTGTGAGAGATTACTTTTGTTACCATTGAAAAGAAGAAAACAAAAGCAATTGGAAAGAGTTATTTACTGGGAACCATGCTGATATGTTTTATTAGGCTATGCCCACGAGCATCACGTACGAGTCGAGACTATCATGATATACACTTAATATTTTAAAAAAAAAGGTTGTCATCGCTAAAGGCGATAGGCAATAGGTGATAGGCGAAAAGCGATAGGACATATGTCATTCCAAGATCCAAGAATAGCTGTAATGACTTGTGTTTCTGCTTCTTATTCTCGTCAAGAGTATTGACCTTAGTGTTGAGACTGATTCAATGTTCTTTGTATTCAACGAAACCATTTATTTGTCGGAATGAGCTATCGCCTATCGCCTTTGACGATGGCAACGTGTTTTGAAATAGGCGTATATTCTATTAGAGGGAACGTTTTTAAGGATCTTTGCTGGACAAATCGTGTTGCATTAAGGCGCTATAGACATCATGATTCGTATGCAACGAGAATGGGATAACAAATAACAATTGCTAAATTAGTTCGATTTAGGTCAATCTTTTCTACTTCCCTTTCTTTCTTCCTTCCTTCTATTTTTTCTTTATTTCCTTCCTTATTTTTATCTTTCCTCATTTCTTTCTTTAAATGTATTTATCATAGATCAAATATATACTACTTAGAGTTCTTTAAATTTCCTGCTAACGTTTCGGTAAGTAACATTGGGAAAGTGCGAAATACTTAAGTCTTTTTATCCATCTATAATCTGTAATACAGTTTATATTTAAGGAATATGAACGCGCGCGCTTGTCTTTGTACTAAAGAGTTTAAGATTCTCGTTTACGGCAAACGTGAAACGTCAGTTGACCATTAGAAAATTCTTTAAAATTAGTGAAAAAGAATCGCAAAAATCTCCAAGTAGTAGATAAACAAAAGAATACTTGTCTTTGTCGAGAAGGTTTGCAAAAGGTAAAGTGAAATGTAGGGAAATGATGAAAATGTGGTCACGTTTGCCGTTTGCGGGAAGGAAAAACGGGAATCTTAATCTGCCTACTGTGATATAAACACGCTGGGAGGTGTAGAGCAAAAGAGAAGCAAGCTTAGGAACACGAGGCTTAGCCGAATGTAAGTTTTCTTGCTTCTCGAGTGCTCTACAGCTCCCAGAGTGTTTACATCACAGTACAGAGACATAATCAGCCGTTTTATATTGCTTGTATGAAATATTTTTAAACAATTTTGAGCGAGCGTGTATCTGTATCGGTAGCCAGCCGATCAGCGAACGTTATATCTCAAATATTTTAAAATAGAGTTTATGTACTGATTGAAAGAGTGAAGGCATTTAACCCGTGAAATAAA